ATTTATCTTTTAATTCCAAAGCTTCCAACTTTGCCGAACACGTCCGAATCATACCTAAACATTCCAGTTTTTAACTTAACTTCATATATAAGTTCCAAACCCCTAAATGATCCTATTCCAAGTTCCAAAACAACAATCCGAGTCTAATATCATCAAAATGAACTCTCGGTCAAAACTATGAACTCTCCAAACCTTGAAAATTGCCAACTTTCTATAATTAGTGCCAAAACTTTCTAGCAACATCCAAATTCAAATCTGAACATATGCCTAAGTACTAGAACCTTCAAATCACCAATCCAAGGTCATCTACTCAAAAGGCAAATGTTGGTCAACTCTTACAACATAAGTTTCCAACAATGGAACTAAGTATTCCAACACTCCTAAACCTTCTTGAAACCAGAACAACCATCTCCTCAAGTCACAAATAACAAATAAACATATGTGAAGCATCAAATAGAAAAATAGGGCTCAAATTATGTGTAACGACTAGTCGGGTCGTTATACATAAAGGGCAAGCCTATGGTATCTTTTGCATCATATGACTTCTTTGTGAGAGTGAGCAATCTCTTTCATGTGCATGAGCATTTGATTTGGATGTATGGACCACTTACTCTCTTTAGTTTTTTTGCAAGGGCATATAGTGTCATGACGGATAAGTAACGTTATTAGACTTCTCTATTTGGGAAAGTATACAAACCTTGAGTGCATTGTGATATCAAGTTTATGTTTTGAATATCTTGAAGTTTGGCATAAGTTATGGGAGGTTTGTGTTGAATGCATATGCTAAAGCTTTATTATTGCTATCAATCATAGTCACATGCTGTAGTGTACTTTGAATGGTTAAAGCTTTATTTTGTTTCATCTACCATAGTTATGGTTTGTTAGAGGACGAATAAAGATTTAAGTGTGGGGTGATGATCTTGGGAATTTTTATATTTTTTAATATTAATTTATTCGCATTTTTACTGCCTTTTGATTATATTTGATATAGAAGATGCCCAACTTATCTTGATTATTAAATCATACACTTATTTTGATGTTAATGGATTATATAGGTACATTAGAGATGAAATTTGGAGCAAAATGAAGAAGTAAAAGTTAGTTATGCCTGGCAACATAATCCAAATGTGAAGCATTGGAGTCTTGAGTAAAAGAATTAAAGGTGGAACTCTCTATTCTCAAATACGATTGGAGATCATTACAAGACTTAAATAATGTTGAGTCCAACTGCATGTAGCAGCAATATAGAACGTAATTAGAAGAGACAAGTTGACATTTGAATTATGGAAGGCATCAAAGTTTGGTTGAAAACACACAAAGCAACGAGATGAAGCAAAACCTAGAAAGCAACGACTTGAGGCAGCAGGTGCGACGCGGGACACTTCCTCCGCATTTAGTGTCGCGAGGCGCCGACGGTTCTGTCCGAGGCCAACTTCTACCAATTTTGTTTGGACTTAGTTATTTCGTCTAGACTTCTTCTTACACTCACCGTGGAGGCCGGTGTTCATCGGATTTCATCTTTCTTCCATAAAATTTAATAATTTTCAATGTTTCTTTGGGTAATTTGTCGCTTGGCTATCATGTCTATATGGAGCTAAACTTCACGTTCTAGAGTTGTGGTTCTTTCATTATTATTTTTATTTGGATATTAATGTTGGCTTCTTGATTTATCGTATTGGTTTATTTATTCAATCATGCGCTTAATTATTTGATTGTTTGATAACCAATTGAATATACTATCTACAAATTTAGAGTTGAACTCACAGGTGGAAATTCTAGGTTCCACATAGGATTGAGTAGAGTATGTTCTTCAATCTGGACATTGGAGAATAGATTCGCGATTAGGATAGACATATACTAATTGTGATTCTTGGTTACTATACGGGAATTATGAATGTATTCTTGTTGATTCTAGCTCCATGGGCATATAGGCGTTAGATTACCTTGAATAGACGAGTAAGAGCTCTACAGATTCTTATGAGCAAAATTAACCATGTCAACCAATAAACCAGATAAATTAATTAGTCAATTCAAGTGAAGAATATAATAGGATTGTACCTAGATCGTTTTTATCACATTGATAACATAAAAATTTGGTCTTTCTTTATTTAGAGTCCATTAGTTATTTTTCTTTTATTTTAATTAGTTTAGAATCAAATACTTTTGGGTTTAATCCTTGTCTAGATAATTAGGATAGTCAAATTAAATTAATAATTGATAACAAGTCCTCGTGAACGATACTCTACTTATCACTTTATTATTTGAAGACATTGTATACTTGAGTGTGAGTTTGACCGCAACGATCAATCTCAATTTTTTTTCTTTTAAATAAAGCATAATTTGCTTATTTGTCCTCCTAGTCATTATTTAAGGCTATAAGGAAGGATAGTCAGGATAAGGATATGCGTTAAAGGATGATCACAATTTAGAGCCCGTTTGGCTTAGCTGATTTAGAGTAGCTGACAAGCATTAGGTGCTGATAAACACTTTTAAGTGCTGAAACTGATTTAAAAAATAAGCAGTTACGTGTTTGGATAAAAGTGCTGAAATAAATAATATGCAGCTGAAGAACTGGGTATACGAAGAGTTTTGTTTTAAAAATAAGTATTTTAGGGATAGAATAGTAAATATTTTGGTCAAACTTAAAGTGCTTATAAGCTGAAATTTGATAAGTTGGGGGAGACCAACTTATGGTTTTTGGCTTATTTTTGGCTTATAAGCACTTAACTTATAAACACTTTTAATTTTACCAAACGCGTAGATAAGCCAAAAAGTGCTTATAAGCCAGTTTGACCAGCTTATAAGCTTAGCCAAACACCCTCTTAGTATTTCTACTGTCCCAATTTTATGTATCACTATTCTTGTGGTCTCTCAAATAAGTCTTATATAATTGTGCGATTGTAAATTATCTTATTAGCGATAAAATGATAATTGTAAAGTTAAAATATTTTTAAAAATAAAAATCTGATATTTTTTTTTTGGAACAAACTAAAAGAGAAAGTATACCACATAAATTAGAACATTAAAATAAAAGATTTTGAACCTTTGCCTTCTCTCTTGAATAAAGCTTTCAATAGAACAACACTATTTTCCTGCATAATCTTTATAAAATTCCCTTCCTACACCTACCCAACAATACAATTCTCTTCCCCTATTCCACTCTAAGTTAAAAAGATAATATATTAGTGTATTGGGAAAAAACTGAATTTATATTGAAGGTGACGTGATATGACACGTGGACTGGTCAAATGGTCAAAACATGATGATCAATTGAGAGGCACGGGCGATATCAGATACGAAGAGAAGAGAGTTAAATAGGCACGAGATGCTATTTAAATGATACGAGTCTCGTATCCATTTAACTTAATTAAAGCCAGGAGGTCAGAAGGAATTGAAGATATGAATCTGATGGCATAAAGGAGTCTAAATTCAGTATTAAATGTCAAATACGTTAGCGAATCAGCATTGAATAGGAATGATTGTGTAACGTTTCATTTAGTGTCATTTAATGCTCATAATTGCCTCTTTAAGACTGAGACATTATACCTTTTCCTAGAAAAATCAACTATAAAAGGAGGAGATCTCAGTATTTGTAAGGACACGAAATATCATTGAGATTACATTGAAATACAAACTTATTTACCGCCTTATTATTCTCAAAAATTCCTTATTCTTTTCGTCTCCTGATTATCAGTAACCCGATTTTTTCTCTTAATTTCTAGTTTTAACCGAAATTCTATTTTTTGGTTAAACAATTAGTATATCCAATCACTAAAAATTAGGAATTAGCATATCGGTATATAACGCGGAGAAATTTTACAATGTGTGAGACTTGCCACATCATACTTGAGTGAGGCTATTTATCGTTTGACACATGAAGCCATGGACCCCACCCTTCATCATCACTTCTCAGTCACAATTCACCTACTCTCACTTTCCGGTCATTCTTCATTTTTTTTTTCTAATTCATTCTCCTCCCCACGGACTTCACCCCCTATATATCCTCTTCTCTTGTTATAAATTCTATAATTATTATTTTTTTACAAATCCATTCGGTTAGCTCTTCTTTCCCACTGAACTTTGTACCCAATAAAAGAGGTTTGAATTTATTAAATATTTCAATCACATGTCAGAAACACAAGACCCAGGATAACAACAAAAAGATGAATTTTGAAGCAAGAAGCTCTCACAAAATTAAAGTTAATTAGCTTAATCAATGAGCAAATGCCAAAAAAGCTCAATTCGAAGAATAAGCGGATGAGAAAGACATTTGAATAGTGAAATTGCTTTTACCCGTATTTTTAGTCTCAACCCTTGCATTCAAAAGGGATAGAGAAATTCATGAAGAAGGGGCAGATGGTTGTAATTCTACTTTCTAAAGAAAGAGAGTAATCTTCGACTATTTTGCTTATAATTTGAAGAAAGATGCCTAAACAATATATTCGTTCAAAATTTATAAAGCTGCACAGCCATAGATGTACACATGCCAAAAATGAGTAAAACAGAAAAAGAAAATTGCTTGAGATTTGCCCTTGCTCCAAGTGTGTGCAAAGTTTGGAAAAAAATGTTAATTTAATCTTCATCAATTTACCTTACAATTTTGGTATAGTTGAAAATAATCAATTGTTTGTGCTGAGGAGAGGTGGAGAAGAATAAAGAAAATTGAGAAGATGAATCCGGGAGTGAGAATGTCGGTCAAGAATGAGGGAGAGAATGATGATGAAGGGTGGGGGTCCATGGCTCCATGTGTCAAACGATAAATAGCCTCACTCAAGTATAATGTGGCAAGTCTCACACATTGTAAAATTTCTCTATAACGCGTAGCTAACAGGATTTATTTTTATAATTCGTCATTAAACTTGTTTAGCGGCAGAATCTGTCCTTTTTCTTTGTAGTGAATGGCTTTGTACTCAGAAATATTTCATCAACCACTCATTTGTTTATATTTCTTAAAAAGCTTGATCTTATATATGTCATAGATCACGTAATATAGTCCTACATCCAGAGAACGAAATTAACAATTTCAAAAAAAGGAAAAAACACTGAAAAAGGTCTTACATAATAGGAACAACAAGATTTGACATCAAGTTGATACTTTATATAGTATGCATTTTAATTATAAACTCATATGCCACCACACTCAAGCTAGTAACTACAACATAAATGTCTAACTCAAGCCTTGGATTCAGAAGCAGAAGCCGTAGTCAATGGGCTAAAACCGTGATCAAGACTTGCTTTCCAGACTCTCTCAATATCAAACATCATGTTCCCACACTCATGCTCATTCCAGCCTTCCAGTGCGTGCAATATTCCAGCTACTCTCCACGCGCTCATCACTCTTCTTGGAAGCCAATTCTATTGTTTTATTAAAAGAAAAGATTGAATTTTTTAGTGATATTGAAAAAAGAAGAAAAAACAAAGGGAATTTAGTATATTATTACCTCACAGGAGTCCACGTTTTCAAAGTGTTTTGGAGTGATCATGGCTGGTGTGTGAAAGTAGAGGCAATCTTTGCGAGCTTTCCTTGGTGGGAATTGTGAAAAGGGAATGAATAATGTTCCTTTTGGTGCTTTCAATTGTTCATCTTCACTCAATCCATCCCCTACTAGCCATATCTGCAATCCAATGCTTTATTAAGTACAGTAAAGAGGGTTTGTTTTTAATAAAGAGTTTAAGTCATATACATTGTTGGTGTAAAGAATTTTTACAATACTATCAAGTAATCCAATTAATATCTATAGGTGAGCTTTCTTAAAATATGAGATCTATAATCTTGAAAATAAAACAAGCTACCTGCTATGCTATAACACATAAAAGTGATTTACTGGTGTAAAAAATTCTTAGACCAACGATAACTTAAACTCATTACTCCCTCCGTGCCTCCGTGCCAATTTAAGTGAACCTGTTTGACTGGATACGGGGTTTAAGAAAAATGAAGACTTTTGGAATTTGTGGTCCTAAAAAAGGCAAAAAGGGGCCAGAGTATTTGTGTGGTTATAAAAACTTCTCATTAAGGGTAAAATTGTAAGTTTAAGCTAAATTGTTGCCAAATTTTGAAAGGGATCATGGAACAAGGGAGTAATAAATAATCAAGATTAACAATCTTATTCATTGTTTTTCGTCATTAATTTGTACCTTTGAAGCATATGTTTTTGAGGGAACCAAATTAGTTGCGACTTCAGGGGTAAGACTTGATTTGAGTTTCTTGTACTCTTCTTCTCGCAATGTCACGACCTATCACAATCAGAATAAATGAGAAAGAGGGCAGTATGTGAGCAAATTAACTGTTTGATTGTTACAATTAAAGAGACCTTGACTCCCCCTTGGCATAAGGCAAGGGCAATGGCATTTGCAACTTTAGACAAATGGCCTCCAAGGACCACTTGTGTGGTTCCTTTTGGAATAGAGTTTAGGACCACAGCAACAGCTAGGCTACTTCCATCAACCACCTTCACTTTGAGCTCAGGATGCCTTCTTATGTAAAGCTCACCATTATTATTCAGTTGCTCCTCCTGTAAAATTTCATGTATAAAGGCATGAGAGTTGACTATCACATAGAAATTAAATTTCTCAAAGTAAAAAGCACAAATAGGCATTATTTGAATCATAGCTAGCGTTTGACCATAGATTCCCAAATTGTAATAATATTACAAGATCCATCAGTCCAAAAAACAAAAATGATAGTAACCAGCTGGTGGATTAGTTGGGTCATAATAGGTGGTGCGCTTTTTTATAAAATATAAAAATTTGGGGTAATTTTTGAAATTGTTAAAAAATTTAAAGGTAATATTTTGGGCCAAAAACAGGTGTAGAGCTAGTTTTAGGATTTGCGGATTTTGTTTTCAAAATCTGCCGAAATTTGGATAAAATTTATAAACAAACAGATTTTGCCAAAATAAATTTGAAAAAAACTTGACAAAATCTATGATCAAACGGGGCCTTAATACTTCCTCCCTTCCTACATGGTAATTAGGTTCGTTGTGGGAGGGTAAAAGTACTCTATCTTTTGTGAGAATTCGGATATAAATTTATTTAGAAATTACAAAAATAGTACTATAAACCATAATAGTTAATAATTTAAATTATTAATAAAATATTTTCCAAAGGCATGGTAAAAAAGAACCTGATTGACTCTCAAAAAGAGTGATATTGCCACATAAATTGAAGAAAAAATGGAGTATGTTACTCGCCTGATTTAAGAGTCCAAGGCTCAATACTTTTATGCCTTCTCGGTCTGCTTCCATGATAGCTTCCTCAATCAAGTTGTTAATCGTCTCTCTTTGCCATTGCATAAAATACTGGAACCAAATCAAGAAATAGGCCAAAAATAAATAAATACTTGAATAGTGAAAATGTCGATAAAAATTAGTATAAATACTTAATTACTTGTATGCGATATTTTGGGATCGCCCAAGTTTGCAAATTCAGACTCTTGAACACATTTCTCTCAACAGTAAATGTGTGACCATAAATCCAAGTAACCATCATAGACCACAATGTAACAGGCCACATTAACCAAAAATACCACTTAGATGTGTAAGGTTCTGAGGCAAAAGAAGCAAATCCTAGCCTGAGATGGTAAATGGATTCTGGGGTTGTTAGGTGTGTTAGGTGCACCACATCCGGCGATTTGCCTTGCCTTTCGAGTGATTTTTCGTATAATGTGTCTGAAGATTTGTCCAGCGTATCGTAGATGTAATCGTACATTGGCATGAAAAGCGAGTAGTTTGTTCTAAATTGAGTGTGATGGAGTGAATGGTACCTGTGCAATAAAATAACTCAGTTAGCTGAATACGTTTTGAAAAATAAAAATTTTGAGAAATCCCAAAGCCAACTTTATTACATGCGTGTGAGGCTTTGTTTTGTCTCAGAATAAAGTGAACATAAGGTTTTGTGGACCCAAATGTGTAAGAGTTGGGTCCACTTTGTTGTGAGACAATACAGAGCTTCACACAATAGACAAGTAAAATAAATTTTTTCTTATGTGATTCAATTCTTTATGGAGATATAAATTATTTTTATTTTAATAAAGTTCGACTTTCGTCGAGTAATGATTAATTCAAAAATCTACTTTGATATATTTACTACTTTCTCAGACTATAATAATGATTTTACAAACTCATAAGGGCTACATTTGACTTGCTATCTCTTACATTGTTTTAAAGCTTAAGATCTTCCTAAATTTCCAAAGAAACATTGCTAGCTACGTGAATACATAAGTTCGACAAATAAAGGAGAATATATTGATGCACCAAATGAAGATATATATAAAAGATAAGACAAACATATAAGTAAAGGAATAAGAGACTTACGAGGGTGTATACATCAAGTATTTGAGAGGGGGAAAGCTGGAGAACATCCATTTTGGAATTATCTCAAAATTGCAATGGCCCATGTTGTTCATAAAATCAATATAAGTAATATATCCACCAAATGAAACTATTGAAGCAGTCCCAGTTAGCACAGTTGTGAGAAGTGGTATGGCAAATAGCAAGAAATATGATATATGCTCTGCAAATGGATGAATCACAGCTGCCAAAATACAGAAATAACTTTATATGGCATTAATACATGGCTTTTTTTTTTCCCCATTGTTATTATGGTGGAAAGTGGCATAGAAAATATAGATTAAATTAAACATCTAACATAATAATTGCACTTTTGTCTATATGTTCTTAGGGGATCTTTATAGAAATAATCAGCCACATTCACTTTTTATTTTTTTTCTAGGTGGTACACATAGATTAAACACGATATACATATTATATGTGGGTATACAAATATTATACGTATATGTTGCCTATTTTTAGTCTAAGCGGTCAGATGAACGGCTATTTAAATTAGTTATTCTTAAAAAAACATGAGCTATTAGCTACTCCATTTATTTTCAAAGTTAAGAACTTTAAGTTTCCTCACTACCTATATATGTAGACTAATTTAAACAGTCACAAATAGCCAACTATATTGCTCTTTCATTTCTTTTATATACACTATTGCATTTATTTATTTATTTTTGTAATCAGATGGAATTTAACTTAGCAGTTCTTTGTTGCTCTCAGGTTCTTGTTTATTGTTAGGTGCATCTTTGGGGACCTTCATAACGTGCAGTCCTCCATAAATGGGACAGAATTTTAATGCGCGAGAAAAATTGTGTTAGAATTAAAATCCCACTACAAAGGTAGACTGCCAAAACAATTAGGGCTCCTTTGGTACGAGAGATAAAGAATAATCAATTCCGAGATTAAATTTGAGATGAGCTTATCCCATGTTTGGTTGGGATAAAATCATGGTATAACTAATTCCAGAATTAATTATCCCGGGATTGTAGTATTATTTTTATCCCTATGGGAGGGTGAGATAACTAATCCCGGAATAATTAATCATAAGATAACTTATTTTCCAACCAAACGGCCCCTTATGAATTATATTGGACTGTCGTTTTCCTGATTGATATGCAGTTGAAACTATTTAAGAGGAAGGTACAATTTTCCATCAATTTACCGAGGGCCATGCTTCTTTTCTGTACCAATGTGGTTGAATCAGGCAGGGTTTGTTTTGATAGAAGGATTAATATGATCGGGTTCATATCGTGCCAGCTTGGAAATTTGAAATTTGGAAGAGAAGGTGCTAGAAAGATAGGCCTTCAATTCTATAGTTAATGTCCCAACGTCTCTGTCCTACTTCGCCTAGTACCTCCCATTACGGTTGACGTGAACTTATTTCCTTTTTAGTCTGTTTCAAAAAAATAACACATTTTTAAATTTGGAAACAATTTATCTTAAACTTCCAATTTTACCCTTAATGAGAAACTTTTATAACCACACAAATACTCTGGACCACCTTTTGATTTGCTTAGGACCATAAATTAAAAAATTTTCATTTTTTCTTAACCTCCGTGCCCAACCAAACAGGTTCACATAAATTGAAACAGAGGGAGTAATATTTTTAAAAAATTCCGTAACTGAATCAACCCTTTAAAATTTTGTATTACGATACCGGATGTAAAATTTAAAGAAGAAAATATATCTTTTGATACATACGAAAAAATATTCAAAACGTTTCTGGTCCGTCCTAAGCATGTCATGATATTTCTATCACCATAAAAGTGTGTCATTATATTAGGATAACCTGAAAAGTTTCAAGTTAGAGATTTTCTAAATATATTAACATTTAACCAGATTAAAAAAGAAAAGTGTGTCAAATGCTCTTGAAATTTAATCAAATGTGAAATTGAGATGACTTACAAGTAATGGGTTCAGTCACAATGGAGGAATGGTGATGAGAATGATATCGAGAGTAGAGGAAATGGTGGTGTAAAGCTCTGTGAAGCCAATAGTAGAGAAATTCAACAGGACCAGTATGGAGCAAAGCTGTCATAATGATCCCATCTGTCCTCCAAATAGGCATGTGATGAGCCTGTTCCAGCTTCGTGTATCCATAGTAGAACAACAGTCCGTTAAGTATGATCTGATCATCCCTGCAAATATAAACACAGTTAATATAAACTAATTTAATGTTATATATTATCACTCCATTCTAATTTATTCAAAGTTGTTTGACTAGATACAGAGTTTAAAAAAAATTAATTTTGAATCTTGTAGCCTAAACATGTCATAAATATTTTTGTGGTTATAAAATCATATCATCAATTGTAATATGACATAAAATGTGACAGAGATACATCCTAATTTGTATTTTACTGTAATTTCCTCTTACAAATGCGGCATGCCCTTACATAGTGCAATTTTTTCAACTCTTGGAAGAGAAAGCTTGTAATATTATGAGAGAAACCATGAAAGAGAGAGAATAATATATCAAAGATTACATCTTTAGCTTTATGACAATATCTGTACTTTGAGGGTGTGTTTGGTTTTTCGATATTTTTCTGAAAAATTAGTAGTTTTATTTTCTCATGTTTAGTTGATGAAATTTTGTTTTCTAAAAATATTTTTTAGTGTTTGATTAGTGCGTGGAAAATAAGTTAGACAAATATTATTGGTTGGGGCGGAAGGGAGTGGGGCATGGGCGGACCTGCGTTGGTGGTTGAGGGGTCACGTGACCCCGTTAGCCTCGGCAAAAATTCTGTATATACATATAATATATATCTGTACTTATATATGGAACCCCTTAAATATTTTAATGGTGCCCCCAACCACAAGTGACGGATGGAAGAAGTGATTGCTTTGGACACTTAAATCTCTCCTATGCTGTGGTGACGCGGGTTCGAAACCACCCGAAGCTTTCTTAGTCTTTTCTCCTCTTTTTTATTTTAGTTCTTTGAATACAATGTCATTTTTATTTAATAGCAAGTTACTTTATTTTTTACTTTTATCTTTTTAAAAAAAAAATTCAATTATAGTTTAGTACTAATACAAAATAGTCACTTAATTAATTTTATTCTTTTTTGCAAATTCCTTCCTTAAAATTGAAAGCCTCAAATTGCAACTTATCGCTCCACAAATAGAAAAATACAAATCTTCTGCCACAATCTTCTTTAACAATCACTCTGAATTGGCAATGGAAACTAATAGTTTGAGACTCTTCTTCAATTCTTTTAGTATTAACATATTCTTAATCTTAATTTCTTTAGTAAGTCTTCGATAATTTTAAGTTTGAACGCCCTTTTGCGAAGAACTCTCTCTCTCTCTCTCTCTCTCTCTCTCTCTCTCTCTCTCTCTCTCTCTCTCTCTCTCTCTCTCTCTCTCCCTTTTTAGTGTTTTCTTTTTCTTTAGAACTTCTTTTTGTTAATACTTGGATGAAAAGTCATCATAATTATTAAGTTTCAAAGAGTTGCACGCCGAATTTTATCACTGGTGATTAACATATACAGTGGTGCCCCCGTCATGCTTGAATCTTGGGTCCGCCTCTAGAGGGGGTAGGGAGTTGGGTGGGGGAGTTTGGGGGTGGGTTGGTAGGGCCGGGTTGGGTGGTTGTGGCGGGGTTGGTGATTAGGTGGGGGGGGGGAGGTGAGATGGTGGGTGGGGGTTAAATTAATCGGTTGGGGAATAAGGCAGGGAAGGGTGAAAAAGAGTTTTGAAAAATAGTTTTTTCTAAATTCCGCCAATTGAAGGAAAATGAGCTCATTAAAAAAATTTTTAAGCTAGCCAAATATGAAAATAATTTTCAAAAAATATTATCCTTCGTACCAAACACACCCTAAGACAAATAATTGTACGGACACAAAGTTGGGTCTTATAAGCTACAAGGGATTTAACCAGGAAAATTTTCACATTAGAACAACTGGGCTCCCTACTTTTCAATTTTATAGCTCATATTTTAATTTACAACCAACTAGCCCAAAAATAATAGGCTAAGATTCAACATCCATCTCCAAAAGGTTCTCAAATTTATTATTTAATTTTAAAAAAAGATTCCTCAAGCTTTTAAGTTAATTTTCGAATCAGTAACCGTGACTCAAATATTAGTTCAACAAACTAAATCCATTTGGGTGGTAAAAATTAAATTTTTAACAAGCTTAAATTTCGAATTTGATTTTGTGAGAAATTTGGAGTGGGTGTCATTAAGACATGTTAGAATTAGTATAAGGAGGTTGTATATAAAATTTGAAGTCATTTAATGGAGATTTGGACTGGTTTTGAACAAGAATTGCAACTGAAAATCGTGGAAGAAGTTCGTCTACAGACGTTTGTATAAAGGTGTATAAAAGTCTATAATAGTGTATAAGATGTGTTTATACACTCATATACACTATTATACAAGATTATACATAATTATACAAAAAACTGACTTCGTCTTCTTCCTTGCGTCTTTTCTGAAATTTAATACAAATCTTGCTCAAATCTACTCCAAATCACTTCAAATTTAAATTTTGAATTCCTTTTGATATTTTCATTCAATTGGAACAACACCCAATCGAAACAACTAACAAACTCAAAAAACTCATTTTCGAAAGCAAAGCTTTGAATGGTCTTCAATGATGGACTTCTACTCTTCAATTTTCTTACATTGCAACCAGGTGATACAAGAGGAGAAATAGAAAATATACGGGCCCTTGAAGCATATGTAGAAGATGTGAGAAGAAGAGAGAGTGAAAGTAATGGTTGTGAGAACACAAATTTAACTCCATAGCTTTTAGAAGCATTGATTGTAAGAACACAGATTTTGAATTTACTAGTGCTTTTAAAATATGTACAATATGGGTTAGGTCGGGTAAAACTTAAAAACATAGGCCATTTTTTTGTTATGGGGTGAAGTCATGTGTATTTTCTCGTAATTATTTCATTTAATTATGCGCCGCGTGAGGAGCTTCTTAAATCTTAATGAATGACCGCTCAGTACTCCCATGCAAGGACAGATAAGTGTCTTTTTCAGAAACCTAACTTAGATGTATGCCCCCACATCGCCAAGCTTGGTGCTATTGTTATTATGTACACTGTACTCCTTAATCTCCAAGATTCGCTCTTTTTGCCTATTTGCATTTACTCAATAAAAATATCTCAGATAGACTGATAGAGGCATGTTTCTGACTGAATAACGCTCTTAAATTTTCCCACCAGATTAGCCTATTATAGATAAAAGATTAAGGTTTGTCAAGATTTAGTGTATGAAATTGTGAGTTTTGCGGGGGGGGGGGGGGGTGGGGAGGGGTTGGCACAAAAGCACTTTATTAGGGCATTATTAATAGGGGGAAAAAAAAGCATTACAGGCATCAAGATGCAGGAGTTGTTCTTTTTTTTTTTTTTTTAATTACTCTAAATGTAGCTCTCATTGCATACAAGAAAAAAATATTTGTTACTGCACATAGTATATTTTTTCCTGCAAAATTGGCCAGACACTTTTAACTCTCCAAAATAAACACTTTTTTAGGGGAAGGAAAAAAAAAAAAACAAAAGACAGTTTTGTTTTATAAAAGTTTGACTAAACTGGCTGTTAGAAAAGATACATACCAGTTTCTTTCTCTGTCAACTTGATCAAATTCAATGGTCTTGTCAACAATTCGGTTATCACCCTTGGCAGTTCTGTAGCGAGATAAGGATATCCATATCTGGTTGTGAAGCATTCGGGAGAGTAGAAATGGGAATATAATTAAGTATGTCATATCCCTCTTGCTTTCATCTTCGCTCATGAAGAATGAGTGTAAGCTGTGAGTCACATATGGTGCCAAAACCACGTACTACATTCAAACAAAATAAAGCCCCATGTCAATAATTAATAACTTCATAATTGAACGCCCATTTGTTTGTTGAAATTATTTCTACAGACAAAAGAAGACAATACATGGTGATAAGTTAACATTAACTACCGCACAACAGAGAAAAAATCAACGAGAAAAAATCACGGACTCAAATGTACACTGTACAATATGCATGATTGCATCATATTTGTCTTGCTTATTGGATATATTCAAGGAATAGGTTTTCTAGCAACAGGGAGAGAAAATAAGAAGATAGTTTCTTAAAATCCATCTACTTAACCATACATGTTTTACGGTATAATTTAGCATTGGCGAAATTACGAATTTCATTAAGAATGCTCAAGTGTTCAAAAATTTGACCTATATACAAAAGTAGAGTTTGGCCTATATACACGGTCTTATTTTCCTACTAAAGGTGTTCAACTGACCACACCATCCTTCACTTGCTGCAGTGCCGCCTCTATAGTTTATTATACATAGATATTTGGACGATAAAGGGAGAATAAATCAGCTGGAAAATTCAAGAGAAGCCATGAGAAGGAAGATGAGTATGTATATACCTTGAAGTTCCCAAGCCATGTCCATGGCCATTCTGTTAGAATGCCTGGTTTGGAAGCCATGTTTTTGTGATGTTTAATGACGAGTTTAAACTAAAGTACTCACTAGCTTTACCCAACCTGTTTTCCTGTGCCCTTTTGAGGCGTTGCTTCTGCTTCGACAGAACTGCACTATATAGAAGTCTTTTGTAGTGGCTTATTAAATATTGACATTAATGTGCTCTCAACGCTCCCTAGTTGCTATGTGACACGTATCTCTTTTACAACCATCACTTTTACTAGTTCATCTTTACTTGCAGGCTCCAGCTTGCAGAAATTCTCTTTGAAGATTATCGACCGTGCATAGGTCTAATTTTTGGACGTGGAACATCTTTGACCGCAATGGTTATTAGACATCGACCTTGTTTAAATGATTTAAATTAATCTAGAAAATTAACTGGCCTCTGATTAGTGTTAGTTTTTCATCAATTGATCTAAATCGTTCAAATCTTATTTCAATATATAAGTAAGTGCCAATGTTTATTAAAATTCTTTTTAGGCAAAATGACCTCTTGGCCACTTAAACTTGTACCCGATTGTCATGCCGGTAAAGGAGCTTTCAAAATTCCCATATGAACACTTAAACTTGAGCATAGGTGAACTAATAAATAGCTCCGACCTATGACTCAATCTACGTGGCATCAGTTATTCCTAGTCAGCTGTTGTGCGTGTAAGACACGCCTGGCAGGAGCGTGATTGATATTTTTTCACTGCCCAACGGTAATAAAACACAAGGGCCCATCTATTTAGAGGGCTTCTTCTTCCTCAATGTTTAAGAACCTCCATTATTGACGCCTAACAAGCTCTGCAACACTTCTTCTCTTCAACTTTTTTTACAGATTCAAGTATTTTTTTTCTTCTCTAAGTCGATATTTTATTCTTCAGGCCAAGATGTAATGGGAAGTCGTGTAGTTTGTCGTTGTGGAGTTGACGTTGTTGTGTGTATAACCTGGAAGCCCACCAATCCGGGTAGAAGGTTCTTAGGATGCTCAAATTATGGTACAACTAGTTGCTGTAATTTTTTCAGGTGGGTTGACCCACCTCTTCCAGATCATTTCAAACAAGTAATTTCGGGACTGCTATCAAGAATTCGCTTCAATGAGCAGTGAAGGAACATGGGAAAACAATATGTACTTGTGTTTGTTATTGCTGCACTGCTCTTTGTAGTGTTATTCTTAGCTTAGGATCTTTGTATTGTATGTTTAATCTTAACAAACAATGACAATGTCAAGTGTATGAAGTATTTTGCTGCAATGAAAAGTTATGCTTGGCATTAACATCTGAACAATTAGACAAGTTCAAAACAACCATTTTGATTGTCAATAATAGGCCATCAAATATGCACACTAGCAGAAACCAGTTTACTAATGTGTCTAAAACCAAACAAAAACAACATTAACGAAGTTCTGATTATTTCAGATCAAATCTTCCACAAAATAACCTATAAATAAGCTCTGATACTAACAGACTTAAACTTTCACAAAAAGAAATATTTCTTCAAATCATTATGGTTGAGACAGGTTGAAGTTGGACTGAGATTGGCTCAGGTTTGGCTGAGTTGAAGCAGGAGCTTCAGATTGGCTTAGGGTTGCCTGAGTTTGTCTCATTCTAGCCTGTTGTTGAAGCTGTATTTGTGTTACTGCATTTGTTCCTTTCCACCTTAGTCCAGGTGCTCTATATCCAAGATCAATATTGGTCTGGCTAGTATCAATTAATTGCCTAGGATCATGTGTGACTCTGTCCCTCCCTACATTCAAATAGAAATATAATTTTAGAACTTAGTATAGTAATTAGACACAACAATTGGGCAGAATTTCACATACTTACCCTCTCTATGACTGTCCCTGATTCACCAAATAGTATTCCAAATCCAGTAGTCTAGGCCTAGGCCTTCCACCTAAAGTTCTAAGAATTTGTTGAGGAGTCCTTGATCTTTCTTTTGTAGTTTCCGATTGTTGTGTTCCTGATCCATCATCAGTAGTAGTTCCAGAATTTCTTTGTGTTGCAGATCTTGCTGTTGTAATAGTAGCAGATTGTTGTGCTGTAGATCCACCACCAGCAGTCGTACCAGAATGACCTCCTGATGTAGATGTTGTAGCCTGGGCATTTGCTGTACTACTCCCAGCACCAGCACTTGAACTTTGCCCTTTCTAAAACACCCAGAATATAAAACAATATTAAAAGACTAAAAAACACTTAAAGCATAAGAAGTATTTGATTCTTACCAGGATTGCACAGCCTTTCTTGTTATGCCCTGCTGTCTTGCAATGAGAACAGGTCATTGGTGTCCCCTTTCTTGATCTCTTACCAAATTTCTTTGTAGGTCATCTTGAGCCTTTCTTCTATGTTTCTTAGGTCTACCAGGCATCTTAGTAATTACAGGAGGCTCAACTTTGGGGTTTTGAGTTGGAGGCCACATCTCCATGTTGGTCATAGGTTGTATGTAACAACTGAATGCCTTGAAGTATGTTTCCTTGTTATACCAATGCTCAACATAGTCAGCAGTGTCATACCTTTTAAGAAAAATTGCACAAAGTGTATCGGAGCAGGGTATGCCTTTCAGCTGCCACATTCTACATCTGCTACAAAATCAACTATGTGTTTGTAAATTCCATCTTGGATCGCAAATCCAGTGTCCCCATTCCATTTATATTCATGCTTGGTGGCTCTAATAGATTGCTCTTCAATGTACCCCAGTGCCATAGGAAATATATCAGAAATCCATTTTGTAGCAAATTCTCTCATATTAGTCATTCTCTCCATTACCTTCACTCTGATCTCTTCCAGCATGGTTATGATTGACTTGTGCCTAGAAGTAAGTATCTAACTGTTGAAGGTCTCATACATGTAGTTCTCCACAACATCACACTTACTACAGTCTTTAAAAAGGCCCTGCACATGACTGTTTGGGATATCTAAGCAAGTCTTCTATTATCTTATTGCCACCCAATTCTGCCAACTCATCTAGTTTAACCTTCAGAAATGCTTCGAATGAAGCTCTTGCACAACCCCAAAACTTCTTCCATATTTCCTTACCATCCCAGATTTTCTTCCAGTTGCTCCATATGTGCCTTGCACACATTCTGTGCTCCAAATTTGGCATCAATTCAGATATAGCTTGAACAAGTCACTTGAACAACAAAAATACACTTAGAGTTGCTGCAATGAAATCTTAAATATTAAAGTATAAAATGAGATTAAAACAATACACATACCTTCTGCATATCAGATATAATTGTTAGTCCTTCACCTTCAGATTCTATCAGTTTCAAGTCCTCCATTAGACACCTAAAAATCAGGACCAACTGTTCTTGGTCTCTTTCTCAACCACTGCCCAAGCAACAGGGTACATCTGGTTATTACCATCCTTAGCAATGCATGACAATAGCTCACCTTTACACACTCCCTTCATAAATGCACCATAAAATCCAATTACTCTTCTACACCCTTCTAACTAACCTGTTATCAAAGCATGTAAACAAATGTATATCCCCACAAAGACCTCTTTACCAAGTTCTATTTCTTTTGAAGTCCTCACCACAACAGTGCTGCCTGGGTATTTGTTCTTATCATGTCAGCATAATCATAAATCTAGCAAACTCCATTTTGTAATCACTTAAATACTTACCCATTACCTTCTATCTAGCCCTGGCACATATTGTCTTTCCTACTTACACACCATACTTAATCCTTATCAACTCTTGCAACTTCTTGAGCTTTATGTCAGGCTGACTAATGATCTTATCTTTGTAATGTTTAACTATCCAAGCTGTGTTAGCAATCTTGTTCCTTTTGACTGGGAAGCATGAATGGATATGGTGGTATGTGTTAACAATGAAGTTCTGTGTGTGCCCCTGTAAACTGCCTAAAATATGCCATCTACATTTACTAGTGTTCAAACATCTTGCCCTGACCCTATTCCTCTCATTTGGTCTCAACTTTAATTGAACTCTCCTCTGTACAGCATAGTCTTGTAAAGAAGATCTAAATTCTTTAACATTTTCAAAGACCATTCCCAGTTGGAAAACAATTTTATTACAATTAGGGTCAAAGTAGACCTTTCTACTGTATCTTCTTGGAGGAAGGTTATGCACCTCATCATCTGCATCTGCATCTACATCATTATCAATACTATCCTCACTCCCTGGATCTGAACTATCTAGGTACTGCTCATCCCCTCCCAATTTGTCAGCATATTTAGCAGTCTTGTCCTTGTAAATGTCTTCAAATCCAGGGTCAATACCTACAGGGCCACTAGGTATCTCATCTACATTAACATCACTAGATCTCTTTCCAGTTCTTCTGATTAACTTTGGTCTGTCTAGTAGCAACAAGGTCAGCTTCTATATCACTTGTCTCTCCAACAACATCCTCATTAGCATCATAAAGTGAGTCATCTGTATCCTCTTCAGCAGAAACACCCTCATATTTACCATCCTGACTCCCAGAATTACTCTCAAGTTCATCACAATCGGAATCTGTGGCTAGATGAAAGTTGTAGAACTCTCCTTCATCCTCAGTAGAATCTTATATATCAGCAGCCCTCCTTTTACCCTTCCCCTCAGTGAAATAACCACTATTTATATCATTGGTAGGTGAATTTGTTGCCCCAGCATTAGCTCTACTTATTTGCCCTTGTGGCACTTCACTAAAGCCAGTTGTTTGGTCATATGGGATATCACTGGGGTCCATACCACTACTTAACATTTCATCCAATTCAATATCAACACATGGTATATTAACAGTGTGACATAAATAAACATCAATAAAATCCCCATCATGAAGGTCTTTGCAGAATTCTAACACATCAGCATCATACTAAATAAATCGAAATGATCCTTTTTTATTGACTCAACATGCAAATTTGTCCACATCTAAGTACCCCAAATCATTTGCCCATTTGTTGAATTGAATAACATGCAATTCATCAGTGTCAACAGTTACAATAGAAGGCCATGTTATACCATTTTTATACCTCATTAATAGGCCAGCTACCAGTTGTCCCTGATGGTGAAATTATAATTTCACAAGAACAACCATCCTACTTCACTATGCCTATGAAAATAACATAAGATAAGTCCAAATTAGTAAAATATTCAAAAGAATGAGACAATATTGTTTGAAAAAG